TCTGGTTGGTGGTGGTAGAAGAGAGGGAATGAAGAAAACCCACCGCATCGATATCAACCGCCAAGCCTTCGATCCGTCGCAAGCGAGCTCATCAAGGCAGATTCCCAAAATGGACATTTGTCGCGCTCGCCGAAATCTGTCGCACATCATCCCAATCTGTCTGCCTCCATCAAAATCTATCTGGGTCCGTTTTGCATATCCTCCCGTAGAACACAGCATGTTAGGTAATTTTCTGACTTAGAAAAGTATCCAGATGCCTATAGTTTATGTTGCAGGATGCCCGAGGACCCGAAGACTTGAAGAATCCCTGTGGATTTAGCGAAAGAATGATTTCGAATTCCGACAAAATTTGCCGAAATGCCGAATTTGATGGCGGACTTTCCAACTCCGATTCTCACTGAACAAATCCCGTTGCGAGATCGCAAGTCATTTGGTCGGTGCCGGTGTGCATCGCGCCTACGCACGGGACCTATAAATCATTTGTCTCACCCGCGGTGAGATCCTTTCGCACTCGCCGTCGGTCCGGTGCGCTTTCTGCCAAGAACGCTCGCCTGAGATTGCCCTTCACTTCAAACCGTGCTGGCGCGCTTCCGATGTACTTATAAGGTTTTCGGTCGCAGTGAACCCATTGTTCCAGCAAAAATATTGTAATGTGACTTGAAAACCTCCATCATGCTGAGCTTAGCAGCCAAGTTCCACTTGGTGTTTTTTCTTTCTTGGTGGTGGAGTAGAACCGGATGTCAACTTCTTGCGTGTGGGATGTAACTGCCTACTATGGAAGTCCGATGGGGGACCGCATGACCTCGAGAGCTTAAATTGGCACTGTATAATAAATTGTATTACATGCGTGGTTATTCCGACAGTATGATTTGCTGCTCGGTGCTAAAATCAGGCCGCTGATGGCTTCCTATAGACGAAACTGCTCGATTCGGGAAATCAAGTGCTTTTTGGAGACTCTCTATTGAGACCGCGGCGCCTATTGAGGCAGAAAAGTCGCGAGCCCGCCGCGCACTCGGTCCTCCACGGCCTGGACTTGGGTATTGTGGGAATTACCTTCCTGTCTATCATGCCTTCTCTTCCTCGAAAATCGGTAAAACTTCGTCTAATTTCTGATCCTACAGTTGTCCTACAGTACATATTATGATCCAATGCCGACATCCCCTGACAATTTACAGGGCGGGGGCGAGGCGGCCTGATAGAACCCGGCATCGGTGGCGGCGGATGTAAGCACCCTTGTCAGTGACTCAGTGCACTCAAGTCCTGCAGCCTGGTCAGGCTCAGGCGCTATTCTTGGTCCGATATCAGTGCGCTATATAAATAGTGATGCCCAGGGCCCGGCCTGGGCCCTCAAGCCGGTCAAGCCAAGCCCGCACAGGTCAGGCCAAGCCCTGCCGGATGGCTTGGGCCTGATGAATTTCAAGCCCGAGCCCGCCCAAGCCAGGCCCAAGGCCGGGCTTTCATGCCAAGCCAGGCCCTGGGCATCACTATATATGAAGTGCCCGTGGTAGCAATTTGGGGTCACGAATCCCTGACAGCACCCTCACCGTCTCGCTGCGTCTCGATTCAATGGTTCGTCCCGCACGGTGACCTAGCTCCACAGAATGCTGACCTTGCGCGCTTGTATAGCCTTCGAACTCCAAGCTTCCATCTCACGGTGTCCGAGTCGCCGTACGCATTCTGGGATTGTACCTGATCGACGAGGACTGAAAGCAGCTTCACAGGGACCTGATCTGGACGTTTCTGCGAACCTGGCCCTGCTCATACACGTCCCTAGCTCGTCTTCGAATGGTAAAAAGGTGGGACGGAACTGCGCATATGAATGAGCCCGTACCTAACCCAACCCCCCATAGATCCACCTACCAATACGGATCAGCAGTGGCGCACAAGTGTGGACTGGTGTCAATGAATTTGCCGACGCTAACGATTAGTACCCAGCGCCCCCCATCCCGACCAGCTCGCATGAACTGGAAAGCGGTGGAAGTTGTTTGGGGGAAAACATTCAGAGGCAAGATGGAAGGCGGTCCGCAGAGGATGCAGGTGAGTGAACTACCTCTTACATCGTCCTAGACTTATCTTTGAGGCTCAGATGCTGGAAGCTGAAAATTGCGCATGGTAGCTAGTCGTTCAGTGTTTATCGTGCAGCTTGCGGACATCTATTTAGGAGGGTTAACTTATCTGGGGGATCTTTCCACGCTTAATAACCCTTAATAAAATCACATACCCATACGCTACGCGGCATTTGGATGTTTGATTCAAAAATCACTTTTTCTGGGCTCAAAAGCTTTCCACACATCAGCAATCAACTGTGATACCAACACCAAAGCATAGTTCCATCTGATGCTGGTCCTGGTTACTTGCTCATAGTCATGTCTCTGCCAGATCCAACATTACTGGCACTAGCAGCAACTGGCCATTCTGCTTTTGCATACTTACGCATTGACATTTCCTCGCAGGCAACGCATCTGCCTCACGGTGTTGGCTTGAACGCTAACTAATAATTTCTTCCCTTGAGAATAAACCCACCCATTCTTCCTTCTATGCACTCTCATTGGCCATTTCAGTCTGGAACATTCCCCCGCTGTTTCCCCGAACATACATCATGAAGAGTGCAGACATTCGCCTTTGACACTGGAAATAAACCTGGACAATGTATTGTACATATGGACAATTGTCTTCAGAAAAGGGAAGTTGGTTTATGGGAAGACAAACATGTAGTACTGTACGGGTGGTTATCCTTACAGAATCCTACAAGATGCCGACCGAGCACAACATCATTCCAGGGGGTCGAAGGTACAAGACACTGGCTAGCTGTGAACTGGCTGGCCGTTTGAATGGCTGGACATCCGGTTAGAACCTCGTCGGACCTGACCACGAGCGGAGTGCGCAAGTGTACGGGAGGAGTTCCCTCCTCCCAGGTAAAAATCCCCGGCATCCACCAGTTCACAGAAAGCTGTCATACGGCTTTCCCTTTGCAGATGCATGCACACCACCTGCTTCCGAAGAAACAGACCCAAGGACTTTTGGGTAGGAGAACTCTCTCCGAGGAGACAGCTCAGAAGTGCCTTATCTATGTCATAGTACTAGTGTTGCCGTTCAAAATCCAAACAATTGCCGCTAGGCAGCGAAAGATCAGCTTATTCAGCCCCGAGGACAAAGAGGAGGGAAACCTGATAATAGAACAAAGAAAGATTGTACAAACTTGGTACAAACGTGTCAATGCGGCCATGGCAAATGTCGGTGCCCTGCCATGAACCCACGCCCACGACAATTGCCGCTAGTGTCATGAGGTAGGATCATTTTGGAAGAGTCGGTAGTTCGAACCCACCTGAGGACATATTCTGACCGCGAATACCCACCATATGATCAGCACAACCTTTTCTTTGCTTTGCTTCCCCCAATTGCAATATTTTCCAGATATGATTCCATTGGCCTGCACAATTTGCAGCGCAATTGAGTGACTGCTGGGAAGATGAGTTTCAGCTACACACCTATCAACAAACCGGACTGTGTACACAAGTCCTCGTGGAGCAAAGTAACTCACTCCCAACCAATAGTTCGTGATTATGTGAGATTTCCGGGAGAGTCGGTGGTTCGAATCCACCCCAGGACATGAGTAGGCAACATGTTCTTTTTTGTTGGTTCTTCCATGATTCTCTTGTTCATGCCACGCATCCTGAATTGCCGGTTCTGTTTTGCTGGCTAGAGAAAATTGTCAGTCATGCATTCAGATTCAGAGCACTCAGACATGACACAAACCTACAGAGGCTTGAGGTTAGAGCAAGAAGTCCTCGTGGAGTAAAGTTACTCGCTGCCATCCAATTTCCAGGCTGACGTCGATTTTGGGGAGTGTCGGTGGTTTGGACCCACCCGGGGACACGAGTCTTTATGTGGTGTTTTTTTTTGTGTCAAAATCGTTTTCCGTGCCGCGCCGGGGGCCTTCACATTTACAGAGGCTCGAAAGTAGGTGGATAAGTCCTCGTGGAGTGACGAAGCTCGCTCCGAACCAATATAGGCATTAACACATAGTTTCAGGAGAGTCGGTGGTTCGAATCCACCTGAGAACATATCAAAGCCTTCTCAATTCTTTTTTAAATTTCAGCTCGAACACACTAGTATCCGGATATAATATCTCCCGTCGTGCGCACTTAACTCACTACCACCTATTGTAAATTAATGTGTCAACTTTTCATTGTGGAATTTGATAGATATATTTGTCCTGATAATTTTCTGCGCTCAGAATTTAGAGGACGCTCTGACTCGCACCTACAAATGTTCAAAGCTGGAGGAGGAAGTCCCTGTGGAGCAACGAAGCTTATCCGTACTCGATTTGGTGTCCAAACCGAATTTTTTGGGAGAGCCGGTGGTTCGAACCCACCAGTACTCTAGGACATTCTTCTACTTTCTTTTTTGTGAGTTTTTTCTTTTCCTCCTTCCTTTTACCCTGTCAAGTAGTTGACCCCTCCATGACACAGACGCTTAGGGGTGTGTGAAATATCATGTGGGACAGGGACATGGGTACGTGCGGAGGTAGCAGAACGGGGACAGCGGGCGGCCCCGCGGGGACGGCAATGAAGGTGGGGGAAATACGTATGCGGAGTCGGCCGAGAATAGCGCGGGCGGGCGGATGGGGATGGCAACGAGACCGGCGGATGGGGAAGGTGTCCGCTGTGCCCGTCCTCCTCCCCTTGGATACCCCTGCCAAACACACTCCCCGCGATAGCAGCGCCGGGCCCCACCGGGCGCGCAGTTATTATATATTTTATTTTACTCTATGTATGGTTTTCCTCTCAACACGGCACCATTTAGTTCCGTGCCTGTGTGCGAATACCCCACAATGACGAGGCACAAAATCCGAACCGCGGCCTTCATCGATGGCGAAGACATAATTTCAGACACAGACAGTGAGACACTTATCAACCCACCCAACTTTGAATGCCGAGGGGACTATACATTTAAACCTCGGACACGCACCAATAGATGTTCAAAGGTAGGGTAGACAAGTCCTCGTGGAGCAACGAAGCTCACTCCCATTGATTAATTTTCCCAAGTAGTTTGGAATTTCAGGGAGAGCAGGTGGTTCGAACCCACCCGGGGACATGAAGCTTTTGAGTGCCTTTTTTGTAAAAAAAATCCTTTTCCCGTGCCGCACCGGGGGCCTTCACATTCACAGAGGCTCGAAGTCGAAAGAGGAAGTCCTCGTGGAGTGAGGAAGCTCACTCCCACTTTTTTAAAACGAACGCTGAAAGTGCTTCCGGGAGAGCTGGTGGTTCGAATCCACCCGAAGACATGTCTTGAGCTCGGATCTTTTCTTTTTTTGTATCCCCCCTAACCCAACCCAAGTCCTCGTAGGTGGCGATTCACGCAGGAGGATAATAGTTTGGTCCAGCAATAACAGGGTGCAATTTTATTCGTCCGTCCGCAGTGGCATTTGTTATTTTCCTGAATGAAGAGGGTATTCTGGGCGCGCACCAATAGACGTTCAAAGATTGGGTAGATAAGTCCTCGTGGAGTAATGAAGCTCCCTCCCGTTGATTTAACTTGGCGTTTAATCCGGAATTTCAGGGAGAGCCGGTGGTTCGAACCCACCCGAGGACATCATTGGCTTCGTCGCATTCTTTTTTTTTCCCGTACAGATCCCGTACAGATCGCTACTGGTTCCTTTTCACCCTCCTGCAGTAATTTTCCTTTTTTTCCCCCATATTTTGGTAGGACGCAGACGTCATTGCGCTTGCATTTTTATACACTCAGGACTTAGAATCTACAGAGGCTCGTGGACAGGTTGGATAAGTCCTCGTAGAGCAAGGACGCTCGCTCCGACCCCATACCAGCCTTGACGCATAGTTTAAGGAGAGTCGGTGGTTCGAACCGACCCGAGGACATATGTTGATCTTGAATGGGATTTCTTTTATTTTTCAGCCTGGGCTCGGGGTCTCTCTGATCGGCGACATGAGCTGCGACGACTCGGCCATGATGTATAGGACTTCTTGCGCCGGTCAATTACCTTCATTATTTACGCTCTCTTATCTCTATTGGTTTATGTCATCTCCATATTGGTGCCAATCCAATCCATTCCTTGGATTCAACCGCACCCATGGTATTCGCTCAGGTCCCCGGTCAACTTTGTCCGGGTCTTGAGCGCACCACTCGCGCAACGTTTTTTTGAAGGCGACTCGGTCACTGGCCTGCGGATATGACCTGCGCATGTATGGGACTTACTCAACGCCTTGCCTCCTTTACGCTCAATATTGGTCCCATTCCAATGCATTAATATTCCTTGGATTCAATCGCACCCACTGTCCTCGCTCCAATTGAATGACTGCTGGGAAGATGAGTTTCAGCTACACACCTATCAACAAACCGAAGTGTGTACACAAGTCCTCGTGGAGCAAAGTAACTCACTCCCAATCAATAGTTCGTCGGGTTATGAAATTTCCGGGAGAGTCGGTGGTTCGAACCCACCCGAGGACATGAGTAGGCAACATGTTTTTTTTGTCGGATCTTCCATGTTTCTCTTGTGCATGTCACGCATCCTGAATTTCCAGTTCTGTTTCGCTGGCTAGAGAAAATTGTCAGTCATGCATTCAGATTCGGAACACTCAGACACGACACAAACCTACAGAGGCTTGAGGTTAGAGCAAGAAGTCCTCGCGGAAAGTTACTCGCTCCCATCCAATTTCCAGGCTGATGTCGAGTGTCGGTGGTTTGGACCCACCCAGGAACCTGGGTGCTTTTTTGTTCTGTGTTGCACCGGGCACCTTCACATTTACAGAGGCTCGAAAGTAGGTGGATAAGTCCTCGTGGAGTGACGAAGCTCGCTCCGAACGAATACAGGCATTAACGCATAGTTTCAGGAGAGTCGGTGGTTCGAATCCACCCGAGAATATATCAAGGCCTTCTCAATTCTTTTTTTTATTTCAGCTCGCGAACAGACACTAGTATCCGGATATAACATCTCCCCTCGTGCGCACTTAACTCAATACCACCTATTGTAAATTAAGGTGTCTTTCATTTTGTAGTGGAATTTGATAGATATCACTGCATTCCCACCCGTCCTAGACTCAGCTGAGACTAGGTGCTGTAGGTTGTGCCAGATGGAGTTAGGTCGGTGTAGGTCCCTACACCCCCTCCCCCCCTCTAGGCGACTACACATAATGTCCGTCTGGCTTTACGGGTACCTAGTAAGGCAGCTAAACTGTAGATGAGGGTAGCTCGTGGAAGGTGAGGGTAGCTCCCTAAACTCAGCTGCACAGACCTAGACTTGCATTTTAATGTTGAACATTTCCGTCATCTAATATTCTGAGCAACCGCGTCCCTTCCCCCCTTGCGTAGGTGGCTACAAGCACCTGTTGCAACCTACACAGATCCTGCCAGACCTAGACCTACCTGTGCCAACCTAGCCAGAGCCAGACAGACCTCCACAGACTATTCTCTAGGCACCTAGCCTCAATCATCGATGTAGCTACTTCTAGGTTCCTACACTCAAGCTGAGTCTAGGAAGGGTCGGAACGCAGTGTATCTTTGTCCTGAGAATTTTCTGCACTCAGGTACGCTCTGACTCGCACCTACAAACGTTCGAAGCTGGAGGAGGAAGTCCCTGTGGAGCAAAGAAGCTCATTCGTACTCGATTTGGCGTCCAACCAAATTTTTGGGAGAGCCGGTGGTTCGAACCCACCAGTACTCTTCGACGTTCTTCTACTTTCTTTTTGTGAGTTTTTTCTTTTCCTCCTTCCTTTTACCCTGTCAAGTAGTTGACCCCTCCGTGAGTCAGATGCTCAGCGGTTCGTGATATATCATGTGGACCAGGGACATGGGTACGTGCGGAGGTGTAGCAGAACGGGGACAGCGGGCGGCCCCGCGGGGACGGCAATGAAGGTGAGGGAGATACGTATGCGGAGCCGGCCGAGAATGGCGCGGGCGGGCGGATGGGGATGACAACGAGACGCGGCGGATGGGGAAGGTATCCGCTATGCCTGTCTTCCTCTCCTTGGATACGTCAGCGCCGCACCGCAGTACCCCTGCCACACACACTCCCCGCGATAGCAGCGCCGGGCCCCACCGCGCGCGCGGTTATTATATATTTTGTTTTACTCTATGTATGGGTTTCCTCTCAACACGGCACCATTCAGTTCCGTGCCCGTGTGCGAATACCCCACAATATCGAGGCACAAATTCCGCCGCGGCTTTCATCGATAGCAGGGACATAATTTCAGACACAGACACATACCTGTCAACCGACCCAACTAAGCGCATAAGTCCTCGTGGAGCAACGAAGCTCACTCCTATTCATTAGTTTCCCTAGGTAGTTAGCGATTTCAGGGAGAGCCGGTGGTTCGAACCCACCCGGGGACATGAAGTTTGTATGTATTTCTTTTTGTGTAAAAGATCATTTTTCCGTGCCACACTGAGGGCCTTCACATTTACAGAGGCTCGAAGTCGAAAGAGGAAGTCCTCGTGGAGTAAGGAAGCTCACTCCTACTAAATACGGGTGCGAAAATGGGAGTTCCGGGAGAGCTGGTGGTTCGAATCCACCCGAGGACATGTCTTGAGCTCGGACTTTTTCTTTTTTTGGTATCCCCCAACCCAACCCAACCCAAGTCCTCGTGGTGGGCGATTTACGCAGGAGGATAATAGTTTGGTCTAGCCGGCAGTGGCATTTGAATGCCGAGGGTAGTATGCTTTTAAATTTCGGACACGCACCAATAGATGTTCAAAGGCTGGGTAGATAAGTCCTTGTGGAGTAACGAAGCTCCCTCCCGTTCATTAAGCTTTCCATGTGATCCTGAATTTCAGGGAGAGCTGGTGGTTCGAACCCACCCGAGGACATCTTTCGCTTGGTCTCATTTTTTTTTCTTTTCCCGTTCAGATCGCTAGAGGCGTGGTTCCCTTTCACCCGTGGGTATCATCCAGCAGTAGTTTTCCTTTTTTCCCCGCATATTTTGGTAGGACGCAGACGTCATTGCGCTTGCATTTTTATACACCCAGGATTTAGAAGCTACATAGGCTCGCGGGTAGGTTGTATAAGTCCTCGTAGAGCAAGGAAGCTCGCTCCCACTCCTAACCAATACAGGCATCGATGCATAGTTTAAGGAGAGTCGGTGGTTCGAACCCACCCGAGGGCATATCTTGATCTTGAACGGGATTTCTTTTATTTTTGTTTTGTTCGACCAATCCGTGAATTTTTACACCAGTACTCCGTGTACCTCTCCCAAGCGTTCCTTGCTCACTACCATGTATTGTGTTGGAAGATAAATTACTAGGTCTCAGGGTGTTTATTTTCTCGTAGGATTTGATAGGACGCGGGCCATTTTTGTCTTCGGATTTTTCTACACTCAGGAATTAGAGGACGGTTAGATACACACAGCTATAGAGCTCGAAGCTGGAGGGAGAGGTCCTCGTGGAGCAATGAAGCTCACTCCCGCCTATTATCGTGCGGCTGTCTCATTTCCGGGAGCGCCGGTGGTTCGAACCCACCCGAGGACGTATTTCGATAACGGTTTGTTTTTTCCAGTATTTTTTTCCATTATTTTTTCCGTTCTTTTTCTTCTTCTAATGGCTCGACCCACATCCAAACTGAGACGTGGGTACTTGCGGAAACATCCTCCGCGGCGCCGATACACATGCCAGCGAGTGGTCCAAACCGCATCATGATCACAATCACAGCAAGCAGTCCGCTCGGATTGGAATTACACTACATCGGCAAGTCAAGCAGTCACTCCATTCAATTACATCGGCTCTAGGATATATACGTGCGGGGCGAGGGGTCGGGCGTCATTGACAAATGAATAGGTGCGTGCGGTAGGTAGGTAGACAATGTAGAAGGGAGACGGAACGTGCGAAGGGGGAGGGTATGCGTGCGAGCGTGATGAAATGTCATTTGGGCGAGGGACGAGAGAGACGTGCGGAGGTAGCACAGCGGGAACCGTGACGGGGACGTGAATAGCCGGACCAGAATAGCAGGACCAGAATAGCGCGGGCAAGAGGGCGGATGGAGATGGAAACGAGAGCGTTGATCAACGCGGATGGGGCAGGTCGGCCTGTCCGCTAGGCGCTACGTCCGTCCTCTTCCCCTTGGATACGCGGGCGCCGCCCTACAGCACCGCCAACGCACCAAGGAACATCCCCGCCACACCCACTCCCAACGGCAGCAGCAGCGGTGCCCCCTCGCGCACCAGTGCCAGCGCCGCATTCGCGCTCGAGCTCGCGGACGTGGTCGGCACCGAGGAACTAGGTGGGGCTGTGACAGACGATCCGGAAATAAAACTCGACGACGCAGCAGACGCGGATGAGGACGGGGTGAACGACGCAAAGCTCAGACTGGTCGGCGTGGCCGCTGCGGCGCAGAACTTCTGCACGAGGGCCTCGGCGGAGGCGACTTCGGAGGGGCAGCCGGTGAGGCAGCCGAGGAAGGCGGAGGTGTAGTTTGCGGGACTGGGGGGAGTTAGCATTGTAGTATTGTAAGTCGTAGGTGGGAGGAGCGAAGGAAAGAAAGACGCACTTGGGACAAAAACAATCCACTGCCGCCAGGCTCTGGCACCCATCCGCGCCTGCTGCGACAGCCAGGCAATTGTTGACTACACACAACCCCCAATCAATACATGTTCTCGTTCTTTTTCATCGAGTAGAGGACGAGAGAGACGCACCACACGGCGAAACGGCGCTCAGACTCGGGAGGGCCGCGGAGTTGCTTGGGGTGCCGATCCTGTTGCTGCTGCTAGGCACACCACTAGCCGAGGACTTGGTGGCGCTGTGGCTCGAGGACGCAGCGGAGGCGCCGAGAGCGCTGAATGCGAGCAGGAGGAAGGTGTGGGGGAGGGAGAGCATCTGAGATGTGTTAGTCTTGTTGTCAGTCAAAGGAAAGAAGACGCGCAAAGAACAATGGCGAGGGAAACGTCCGCAGTGGCATTTGTTATTTCCCGAATGCCGATGGTGCTATACATTTAAATTTCGGACGCGCACCAATAGATGTTCAAAGGCTGGGAAGACAAGTCCTTGTGGAGCAATGAAGCTCGCTCCTGCCTATTATCATGCGGGTATGAGATTTCCGGGAGCGCCGGTGGTTCGAACCCACCCGAGGACATTCCTTGATTCGTCGCATTTTTTTCTTTTCCCGTACAGATCGCTAGAGACGTGGTTCCCTTTCACCCGTGAGTATCATCCTGCAGTAGTTTTCCTTTCTTTCCCCCATATCGTGTCCCCAATATTGCAACATTTCCGAACTCGAATGACAGGCTATCTACAGTTCCTACAATTCTCCGGGCGTAGCGTAGCCTCCAATTATAAACCACAATGTTAATGCATATTACCCCAATGGACTTCTCGAGATGCACTCTGGTAGATATACGGCGATCTGGCTCGATAATGCGCTGTAGCTTTGGATAATCTTGCAAGAGCTCGACAAACGATCCCGGTTCTTTGTGATACCACGACGTTCGATGATCTTCCCGCCGACAACATCTTCGACGACGAGGCAGAGCAACCACACATAACTGTCGTCGCGGAGGGAGCTATTAGCATGGGCAAGGAGAGGCCAATAAACAGATCATAGATGCAGATGGATCATATTCATCCAAAGGACCACAAAAACCATCCTTACCACGGCCATGGATTCAAAATCCGGACTTAAAATGGGTATTTCCATGAGGATTTAAATTCTGCTGAGGCTAATTATGGATGGATTTTGGATTTGAGGGCCACCATAGATGCGTATGGATCATAGTCATCCAAATGACCCCAAAAACCATCCCTGCCACTCGACAGGGCCACAGATTCAAAATCCAAATTAATACCTGTTTGCAGGTCCATTTCTGCCTTAAATTCTTCGATTTGAGGGTCACAATTTGTAGTGCAATTGAGTAACTGCTGAGAAGATGAGTTTCAGCTACACACCTATCAACAAACCGAACTGTGTACACAAGTCCTCGTGGACCAAAGCAACTCACTCCCAACCAATAGTTGGTGGTTGTATGAAATTCCGGGAGAGTCGGTGGTTCGAACTCACCCGAGGACATGGGAGATAGTCGAGTCGCTTTTTTTTTGCCGGTTCTTCCATGATTCTCCTGTTCATGTCACGCATCCTAAATTGCCGGTTCTATTTCGCTGGCTAAAGAAAATTGTCAGTCATGCATTCAGATTCCGAGCACTCAGACATGACACAAACCTACAGAGGCTTGAGGTTAGAGCGAGAAGTCCTCGTGGAGTAAATTTACTCACTCCCATCCAATTTCCAGGCTGATGTCAACTCTAGTGAGAGTCGGTCGTTCGAACCCACCCGGGGACCTGGGCTTTTGTGGGTGTTTTTTTGTTCTGTGTAAAAATTGTTTTCCGTGTTGCACCGGGCACCTTCACATTTACAGAGGCTCGAAAGTAAGTGGATAAGTCCTCGTGGAGTGACGAAGCTTGCTCCGAACCAATACAGGCATTAACGCATAGTTTCAGGGGAGTCGGTGGTTCGAATCCACCCGAGGACATATATGAGTTCTCTGGTCCTTTCATTTTTTTTTCCCCATTTAAAAAAAAAAATTAGGTCGAACACTCCGTGAATCTTACACCATTATCCGGGTATCTCCCCTTGCGCACTTAACTCACTGCCACCTATTGTAAATTAATGTGTCAGCTTTTTTATTTTGTAGTGGAATTTGATAGACATCTTTGTCCTGAGAATTTTCTGCACTCAGGTACGCTCTGACTCGCACCTACAAATGTTCGAAGCTGGAGTAGGAAGTCCCTGTGGAGCAACGAACCTTATCCGTACTTGATTTGGCGTCCAAACCGAATTTTTTGGGAGAGCCGGTGGTTCGAACCCACTAGTACTCTAGGACGTTCTTCTACTTTCTTTTTGTGAGTTTTTTCTTTTCCTCCTTCCTTTTACTCTGTCAAGTAGTTGACCCCTCCGTGAGTCAGACGCTCAGCGGTTCGTGATATATCATGTGGGACAGGGACATGGGTACGTGCGGAGGTAGCAGAACGGGGACAGCGGGCGGCCCCGCGGGGACGGCAATGAAGGTGGGGGAGATACATATGCGGAGCCAACCGAGAATAGCGCGGGCGGGCGGATGGGGATGGCAACGAGACCGGCGGATGGGGAAGGTGTCCGCTATGCCCCCTTGGATACGTCGGCGCCGCACTGCAGTACCCCTGCCACACACACTCCCCGCGACAGCAGCGCCGGGCCCCACCGGGCGCGCGGTTATTATATATTTTATTTTACTCTATATATGGTTTTCTTCTTAACACGGCACCATTCAGTTCCGTGGCCGTGTGCGACGACCCTACAATATCGAGGCACAAATTCCGACCTGTGGCTTTCATCGATGGCAGGGACATAATTTCAGACACAGACCGTGAGACACACACTTATCAACCCGCCCAACTGAGCGCATAAGTCCTCGTGGAGCAACGAAGCTCACTCCCATTGATTGACTTTCCCCAATAGTTTCGAATTTCAGGGAGAGCCGGTGGTTCGAACCCACCCGAGGACATGAGGCTTTGGTGTGCATTTCTTTTTGTGTAAAAAATTATTTTCCGTGCCGCACCGGGGGCCTTCACATTTACAGAGACTCGAAGTCGAAAGAGGAAGTCCTCGTGGAGTAAGGAAGCTCACTCCTACTAAATACGGGTGCGAAAATGGGTAGTTCCGGGAGAGCTGGTGGTTCAAACCCACCCGAGGACATATCTTTTCTTTTTTTTGTATCCCACCCCAACCCAAGTCCTCGTACCGTGGGCGATTCACGCAGGAGGATAATAATTTGGTCCAGCAATAACGCGGTGCAATTTTATTCGTCCGTCCGCGGTGGCATTTGTTATTTCCTGAATGCCGAGGGTACCATACATTTAAATTTCGGACGCGCACCAATAGATGTTCAAAGGCTAGGTAGGTAAGTCCTTGTGGAGTAACGAAGCTCACTCCCATTGATTGATTTTCCCCAATAGTTTCGAATTTCAGGGAGAGCCGGTGGTTCGAACCCACCCGGGGACATGAGGCTTTGGTGTGCATTTCTTTTTGTGTAAAAAATTATTTTCCGTGCCGCACCGGGGGCCTTCACATTTACAGAGGCTCGAAGTCGAAAGAGGAAGTCCTCGTGGAGTAAGGAAGCTCACTCCTACTAAATACGGGTGCGAAAATGGGTAGTTCCGGGAGAGCTGGTGGTTCGAATCCACCCGAGGACATGTCTTGAGCTCGGACTTTTTCTTTTTTTGTATCCCCCCAACCCAACCCAAGTCCTCGTAGGTGACGATTCACCCAGGAGGATAATAACTGGGTTTAGCAATAGCACGGTGCAATTTTATTTGTCTGTCCACAGTGGCATTTGTTATTTTCCTGAATGCCGAGGGTACTATGCTTTTAAACTTCGGACACGCACCAACAGATATTCAAAGGTCGGGTAGATAAGTCCTCGTGGAGTAATGAAGCTCCCTCCCGTTCATTTAATTTGCCATCTGTCTGATCAGGAATTTCAGGGAGAGTCGGTGGTTCGAACCCACCCGAGGACATCATTGGCTTCGTCGCCTTCTTTTTTCTTTTCCCGTACACATCGCTAGAGGCGTGGTTCCCTTTCACCCTCCTGCAGTAGTTATCCTTTTTTTTTTCTTTTCCCCATATTTTTGGTAGGACGCAGACGTCATTGCGCTTGCATTTTTATACACCCAGGAGGTAGAGGACCTGCAGAGACTCGCGGGTAGGCTGGATAAGTCCTCGTAGAGCAATAAAGCTCGCTCCGACCCAATACCAGCCTTGACGCATAGTTTAAGGAGAGTCGGTGGTTCGAACCCACCCGAGGACATTCCTTGATTCCTCGCGTTCTTTTTTCCCCCCGTCCAGATCGCTAGAGACGTGGTTCCCTTTCACCCGTGGGTATCATCCTGCAGTAGTTTTCCCTTTTTTCTCTGATATTTTGGTAGGACGCAGACGTCATTGCGCTTGCATTTTTATACACCCAGGATTTAGAGGAGGCTCGCACAGCTGCAGAGACTCGCGGGTAGGTTGCACAAGTCCTCGTAGAGCGGGGAAGCTCGCTCCTACCCAATACCAGCCTCTGATATTGCATAGAAGATTTCTGAACCATTTGACTCACAAAACATGCGAGAAATGTGGGGTGATTACTGATTAAACACTGTCTCATCATTCCTGCATAATTTCATTGGGGTTCACTTGTCCACGACATTCCTATGCAATATGGTGGTGATTCTAGCTAATCAAAAAAAAATCTGTCGACTTGACTGACTCAAGTGAACTTGAGTAACTCCGAGTGACTTGAAGTTGGTTGAGTCAAGTCGAATCAAGTCGAAGTTCGAACAAAGTCATTTTACCGAGTCGCGGCAACACTACCTTCGATGGGCACCGTCGAATACCCACCATACGATCAGCACAACCTTTTCTTTGCTATGCCCCCCCCCAAATTGCAATATTTTCCAGATATGATTCCATTGGCCTGCACAATTTGCAGCGCAATTGAGTGACTGCTGGGAAGATGAGTTTCAGCTACACACCTATCAACAAACCGAAGTGTGTACATGAGTCCTCGTGGAGTAAAGTAACTCACTCCCAACCAATAGTTCGTCGGGTTATGAAATTTTCGGGAGAGTCGGTGGTTCGAACCCACCCGAGGACATGGGAGATAGTCGAGTCGCTTTTTTTTGCCGGTTCTTCCATGATTCTCCTGTTCATGTCACGCATCCTGAATTGCCGGTTCTGTTTCGCTGGCTAGAGAAAATTGTCAGTCATGTATTCAGATTCGGAGCACTCAGACATGACACAAACCTACAGAGGCTTGAGGTTAGAGCGAGAAAAGTTACTCACTCGCATCCAATTTCCAGGCTGATGTCGATTTTGGGGAGTGTCGGTCGTTCGAACCCACCCGGGGGACCTGGGCTTTTGTGGGTGCTTTTTTGTTCTGTGTAAAAATTGTTTTCCGTGCTGCACCGGGCACCTTCACATTTACAGAGGCTCGAAAGTAGGTGGATAAGTCCTCGTGGAGTGACGAAGCTCGCTCCGAACCAATACAGGCATTAACACATAGTTTCAGGAGAGTCGGTGGTTCGAATCCACCCGAGAACATATCAAAGCCTTCTCAATTCTTTTTTAAATTTCAGCTCGAACACACTAGTATCCGGATATAATATCTCCCCTCGTGCGCACTTAACTCACTACCACCTATTGTAAATTAATGTGTCTTTCATTTTGTAGTGGAATTGGATAGACATCTTTGTCCTGGTAACTTTCTGCACTCAGGATTTAGAGGACGCTCTGACTCGCACCTACAAATGTTCGAAGCTGGAGGAGGAAGTCCTTGTGGAGCAACGAAGCTTATCCGTACTCGATTTGGTGTCCAAACCGAATTTTTTGGGAGAGCCGGTGGTTCGAATCCACCAGTACTCTAGGACGTTCTTCTACTTTCTTTTTGTGAGTTTTTTTTCTTTTCCTCCTTCCTTTTACCCTGTCAAGCAGTTGACCCCTCCATGAGACAGACGCTCAGCAGTTCGTGAGATATCATGTGGGCCAGGGACATGGGTACGTGTGGAGGTAGCAGAACTGGGACAGCGGGCGGCCCCGCGGGGACGACAATGAAGGTGGGGGAGATACGTATGCGGAGCCGACCGAGAATAGCGCGGGCGGGCAGATGGGGATAGCAACGAGACCGGCGGATGGGGAAGGTGTCCGCTGTGCCCGTCCTCCTCCCCTTGGATATGTCGGCGCCGCACCGCAGTACCCTCGCCACACACACTCCCCGCGATAGCAGCGCCGGGCCCCACCGGGCGCGCGGTTATTATATATTATATTTTACTCTATGTATGGTTTTCCTCTCAACACGGCACCTTTCAGTTCCGTGGCCGTGTGTGAATGCCCCACAATATCGAGGCACAAATTCCGCCCGCGGCTTTCATCGATGGCGAGGACATAATTTCAGACACAGACACACACTTATCAACCCACCCAGTAGTACCCACAAGTCCTCGTGGAGCAACGAAGCTCACTCCTATTCATTAGTTTCCCTAGGTAGTTAGCGATTTCAGGGAGAGCCGGTGGTTCGAACCCATCCGGGGACATTAAGCTTTTGTGGGTTACTTTTTGTGTAAAAATCATTTTTCCGAGCAGCACCGGGGGCCTTCGCATTCACAGAGACTCGAAGTCGAAAGAGGAAGAAGTCCTCGTGGGTAGTAGTCACCTTCGTCACTTCGTTACTTCGCTTAAGCTGGCGAAACTTCGTCACTTTGATGGAAAGTTCTGAAACTTCGTCACTTTGGTTAATTCCCAGGTAAGTTCGTGAGGTGAACAAACCACACAAATCAAACGCATCAATCTGGCCATCATTTCCTTCTCCCCCCATTTTTATATATAGATACCCTGGCCTAACACTAACCTCTAACCCAAACTCTAACCTCTAACCTCTAACCATTAACCACTAACCTCAACCAACTAACCCAAACCTCTAACCTCCAACCCCTAACCAACCAACCCGAACCTAACCAGCCAACCGCGGCAAGCTGTTGATGCGCATCACTCCATGATTTGCCGAGGAGTCGCCGTTTGACAAGCCCGGAATACTAACTCACGAACTTTCACAGAAAGCTATCAAACTCACGAACTTTCACGAATCCCCATCAAAGTTACGAGCTTTCACAGCGCTAAGCGAAGTAACTAAGTGACGAAGATGGCGCGGACTCGTCCTCGTGGAGTAAGTAAGCTCACTCCCACTAAATACGAACATTGAAAGTCGGTGGTTCCGGGAGAGCTGGTGGTTCAAACCCACCCGAGGACATGTCGTGAGCTCGGATCTTTTCTTTTTTTGTGTCCCCCCAAACCAAAGTCCTCGTGGTGGGCAATTCACGCAGGAGGATAATAACTTGGTCCAGCGATAACAGGGTGCAATTTTATTCGTCCGTCCGCAGTGGCATTTGTTATTTTCCTGAATGAAGAGGGTACTCCGGGCGCGCACCAATAGACGTTCAAAAATTGGGTAGATAAGTCCTCGTGGAGTAACGAACTTTTTTCTTTTCCCGTACAGATTGCTAGAGACCTGGTTCCCTTTCACCCGTGGGTATCATCCTGCAGTAGTTTTCCTTTCCCCCCCTTCCCCCCCCCCCCCATATTTTGGTAGGACAGACGTCATTGCGCTTGCACTTTTATACATTCAGGGTTTAGAGGACCTGTAGAGGCTCGCAGGTAAGTTGCACAAGTCCTCGTAGAGCAAGGAAGCTCCCTCCTACCCAATACCAGCCTTGATCCTTAGTTTAAGGAGAGTCGGTGGTTCGAACCCACCCGAGGACATGTTGATTTTGCATGGGATTTTATTTATTTTTTGTTTTGTTCGACCAGCCCGTGAATTTTTACACCAGTACCCCGTGTACCTACATGTATCCCCAGCGCTCCTTCTCACTACCGCGCTGTGCTGGATGATAAATTACTAGGTCCCAGTCCGTTTATTTTCTCCTAGGATTGATAGGTCCTCGGATTTTTCTACACTCAGGAATTAGAGGACGGTTAGATACACACATTTATAGAGGCTCGAAGCCGGAGGAATAAGTCCTCGTGGAGTAACGAAGCTCCCTCCCGTTCATTAAGCGTCCCGTGTGATCCTGAATTTCAGGGAGAGCTGGTGGTTCGAACCCACCCGAGGACCTTCCCCACTTCGTCCCAATTTTTTTTTCCCGTACAGATCGCTAGAGACGTGGTTCCCTTTCACCCTCCTGCAGTAGTTTTCCTTTTTTTCCCCCCATATTTTGGTAGGACAGACGTCATTGCGCTTGCATTTTTATACACCCAGGATTTAGAGGACCTGCAGAGACTCGCGGGTAGGCTGCATAAGTCCTCGAGCAAGGAAGCTCGCTCCGACCCAATATCAGCCTTGATGCATAGTTTAAGGAGAGTGGGTGGTTCGAACCCACCCGAGGACATATGTTGATCTTGAATGGGACTTTTATTATTTGTTTTGTTCGACCACTCCGTGATTTTTCACACCAGTACACCGTGTACCTGCATGTATCCCAAGCGCTCCTTCCTCAGTACCACACTGTGCTGGACGATAAATTACTCGGTCTCAGGCTGTTTATTTTCTCGTAGGATTGGATAGGACGCGAGCCATCTTTGTCGGATTTTTCCACATTCAGGAATCAGAGGACGCTCAGACTCGGACCTACAAATGTTCGAAGCATGGAGGAATAAGTCCTCGTGGAGCAATGAAGCTCACTCCCGCCTACTGTACCGTAGGTGATGCCATTTCTGGGAGCGCCGGTGGTTCGAACCCACCCGAGGACATCATTAGCTTTGTTGTTGTATTCTTTTTTTTTTCCCGTACAGATCGCTAGAGACGTGGTTCCCTTTCACCCTCCTGCAGTAGTTTCCTTTTTTTCCCCCATATTTTGGTAGGACGCAGACGTCATTGCGCTTGCATTTTATGGAACCAGGATTTAGAGGAGGCTCGCACACCTGCAGAGACTCGCGGGTAGGTTGCACAAGTCCTCGTAGAGCAAGGAAGCTCGCTCCGACCTAACACAAGCATTGACATAGTTTAAGGACACCGGCTGTGGTTCGAACCCACCCGAGGAGGACATATGTTGATCTTGAATGGGATTTTTTTTTGGTTCGACCACTCCGTGATTTCTTTACACCAGTACTCCGTGTACCTACATGTATCCCAAGCGTTCCTTGATCACTACCATCCCTTGTGCTGGACGATGAATTAGAATTACTAGGTCTCAGGTGTTTATTTTCTCGTAGGATTTGATAGGACGCGGCCATTTTTGTCCTCGGATTTTTCTACACTCAGGAATTAGAGGACGGTTAGATACACACAGCTATAGAGGCTCGAGCTGGAGAAAGAAGTCCTCGTGGAGCAATGAAGCTTACTCTCGCCTAGTGCCGTGGATGTGTATTTCCGGGAGTGCGGTGGTTCGAACCCACCCGGGACGTATTCCATAACGGTTTGTTTTCCAGTATTTTTTTCCAGTATTTTTCCGTTCTTTTTCTTCTTCTCACGACTCGACCCACATCCAAACTGAGACGTGGGCACATGCAGATACGTCCTCCGCGGCGCCGATACAGCTGCCAGCGAATGGTCCAAACCGCATCATGACCACAATCCAGCAAGCAGTCCGCTCGGATTGGAATTACATTACATCGGCAAGTCAAGCAGTCACTCCATTCAATTACATCGGCTTTAGGATATATACGTGCGGGGCGGGGGTCGGGCGTCATTGACAAATAAATAGGTGCGTGCGGTAGGTAGGTAGACAATGTCGTCGGAGGTGGAAGGGAGACGGAACGTGCGAAGGGGGAGGGTATGCGTGCGTGCGTGGTGAAATGTCATTTGGGCGAGGGACGAGAGAGACGTGCGGACGTAGCACAACGGGAACCGTGACGGGGACGTGAATAGCCGGACCAGAATAGCCAGACCAGAATAACGCGGGCAGGCGGGCGGATGGGGATGGCGACGAGAGCGGAGATGCGGGCGTAATCAGTGCGTATGGGGCAGGTCGGCCTGTCCGCTACGTCCGTCCTCCCTTGCATACGTGGATACGTGGCGCCTATAGCACCGCCAACGCACCAAACATACCCCGCCGCCGCTCACCGCCAACGGCACCCAGCGGTATCGCTTCCCCACGCGCACCAGTGCCAGCGCGGCGTTCGCGCTTGAGCTCGTAGAGTGGTCGGCGCCGATGAGCTGGGGGGCCGTACAGACGATCCGGAAACAGAACCCGACGACGAAGCAGACGCGGATGAGGACGGGGTGAACGACGCAAAGCTCAGACTGGTCGGCGTGGCCGCTGCGGCGCAGAACTTCTGCACGAGGGCCTCGGCGGAGGCGACTTCGGAGGGGCAGGAGGTGAGGCAGCCGAGGAAGGCGGAGGTGTAGTTTGCGGGGCTGGGGGGAGTTAGCATTGTAGTATTGTGAGGAGAGAAGGAAAGAAAGACGCACTTAGGACAAAAACAATCCACTGCCGCCAGGCTCTGGCACCCATCCGCGCCTGCTGCGACCGCCAAGCAATTGTTCACTACACGCAGCCCCAATCAGTACATGTTCTCGTTCTTTTTCATCGAGTAGAGGAAGAGGAGACGCACCACACGGCGAAACGGCGCTCAGACTCGGGAGCGCGCGGAGTTGCTTGGGGTGCCGATGCTGTTGCTGCTGCTAGGCACACCGCTAGTCGAGACGCCTGATGCTGCGACGGCGCTGGAGGACTTGGTGGCGCTGTGGCTCGAGGACGCAGCGGAGGCGCCGAGAGCGCTGAATGCGAGCAGGAGGAGGGTGTGGGGGAGGGAGAGCATCTAGGATGTGTTAGTCTTGTTGTCAGTCAAAGGAAAGAAGACGCACAAGGAACAATGGCGAGGGAAAGGTGGAGGAAGAAGACAAAGAAGCGCCGGATCACTTGGGAAATAAACATGCGCCAACACCGCTTGTCCGGACCGGCATGCCAAACACGTGCATACGGCGCCTACCTCCTTATGGACGACTGCGGCGGGGACTGGTGCCCGCATTTCAATTCACCTTCTCTCCTGCCGCCTTTCTCCACTGTATTCATGGATTCAAACTCACAGCCCGCGGCCATGCCATTGCTCAAGCGCTCAAGGATACATTTAAAGGGATACAAGCGCTCGCAGTGCGGGATTTCCTCTTCACACCTGAATCCGCAGCTGACTTCTATTTTTCAACGGGCTTTCGACGCCGCACTCGCACTTTTCTCGCCTCCATTTCCTTTTTCGTTTCCGTTTATTTTCAGCCTGGGCTCGGGGCCTCTCTGATCGGCGACATTACCCTGCCTCATCTCTATTGGTTTACGCCATCTCCATATTGGTGCCAACCCAATCCATTCCTTGGATTCAATCGCACCCATGGTCTTCGCTCAGGTCCCCGGTCGACTTTTTCCGGGCCTTGTAACGCACCACTCGCGCAACGTTTTTTTGAAGGCGACTCCGTCGCTGGCCTCGGATATGAGCGGCGCATGTACGGAACTTGCTCGCGCTCGGCGACCCAACGCCTAGCCTCCTTTACGCTCCCATCCCAATGCATTAATATTCCTTGGATTCAATCGCACCCACCGTCCTCGCTCAGCGCTCAGCTGCCCTAACGCACCACTCACTGCGTGCTTGAGTACCATTCCGTGCGAACTTCGAAAACACCGACTGCTCTGTTGTGTTTACTAGCGCATGATCTCAGCGCTCCCTGGCCACCGTTTCCGACACCCCGCTCCGAGTTCGTTGGGTATACTACTGTACATCTGACAATGACGATTACTTCTTACGTCTTCCGCTCATCGTTTAGTGCGTGGCTACGCTTCAAGGGATTTGTTCTTTCACTTAACCCTTTTTCCTTGCACGCAATTGAATATTAATCTCGCCTCCTGTGGCTATTCGCTATGTATTCCTAGATTTCGGATCCCGGAGTCATTTCGATTCGCCTCCTCGGACGTAAACCAGGGCCTTGCAGAGGGAAATTCGTTACGGGACTATAGAAGTACCACACGGGAATCTGGCTCTGCAGGGATTGAACAGCGCGGACGGCCTGCGGAACTCACTTGAGCTGTTCTTACCTACGCTTGGGGGAACCTTCCAGCCCGGATGAGAAGCACTTCGGCGCCGCAAGCTCAAATCGCTGCAACGCATCATCTCGGACTGGTTGACACAACGCAAACCTCCCCACTAGTGTTTAATCTCCGCGGGTTGGCGCGCTAGCGTCTTTGCCGGTGATCTGCGCTGAACACAGAGACCAATCAGTTTGTTTTGAATTTCATCGCTTCTCATCCTCGCTCATCGCCTTCTAATCCTGCGCGATGCTTCTGGCTGCTTGAGCATCGTGTCAATAATTGGATGGTACACAGAGCGCGTCTAGCGTCTGTCTGCACCTTCTTTACTATATCAAAGAGAGAAGCTCGAAGGAAAAAAAAACACACGCCACTGTCCCCCTAGTGCCCTCGGGTGGGCTCGAACCACCTTTTATCCCGTGACCGTTGACTTTACTCACATCGAAATCTGTGGCAGTGAGTTCCGTACTCCGCGAGGACTTGATTGTGTTGTTCCCAGGCTCAATAGGTGCAGTACGCAAATTCATTCCTCGTAACCGATTGTGGACTTGCGTGCTAATACTATGCACCAGGTTTTCATTTTATTTCCGTCTCCAACCATTGGTCTCATGTTTGTATGCGAAGGATGGAGACACTGGCCTACAGGGGTGGGCAGAGAAGAAATCCCGTAGCACATATGTATAGTATATGATACTCTGGAGACAGGGGAAAGGAAATCTGAGATCGTTCATGCACACGGATATTTCGAGATTAGTTCAACTATGAGGGTGAAAGTACTAGTGATCATACAAAGAGAGTGCAGTGGCTGTGAGAATGAGAACAAACTGCAGAACCATCACGATATTGAGACTCCGGGACGGCGAAACCATTTCCACGCCTTCAAGAGCGCAGCACTTGTAGGCACTCGCACCTATTCATGGTCAGAACATTTGCGGAGAATGGACCCGTTGTTCGATATACGCACCAGATATCCGGGGAAATTCAAGGTGACCATCATTGGCTGTGGGGATCTCGTCGGCAGTGTCGTCTTCCATCCCCGTGGAATCAATGTGGGCATCCTGACTGAGGGACGCTTCCCTGAACTCGGCCGAATCTATACCTCGTGTCATGAGCGGGAAATCACAGTTTGACTCCACAGCACACCATATTGATCATCCCCAGATTGAGAACCGTCCTCAGTGTAAGAGACTCTGTCAGAGTCTGAGGAGAAATCATCATTGTCTCTTTGTTGAACTGTGAAACTATGAGATGCATCCAGTTATATACAAACTTCAATATGCATACGATGTGCGAATAGAGCACCCCGAGTGCAGGACAAATGGAAAAGGGGACACCCCAGCTCTTGGGCAGCTTCCTGGCCGTACGGATCAAAGCGTTTAGCTGCCTGGAACCCGCGGATCCCATCGTAGACACTGGCATCCCATGAAATTACGGCGACCTGCACTTTCAACTGGATGGCTGGGAACCCCAGGTCTTCTGCCCGCTCGTCGCTCAGCCGGTCCATCCCAGATGGGTGTAGAGACCAATATGCTACGCGGTCAGGAATTCGGAAGCATGCCGATTCATCTGCCTCGAGCTCGGCGGAGGGGCACACAAAGAGGTAGCCGGGAGGTAATCCACGTGTCGGTCCACAAAGCTGGATGTAGTAGTCAATGCCATCTACCAATACTGGTGGAAATCAGTGCTAGATTTTCTACTTGGTGGGGAGAGCAAAAGTACCATAATCCTCCAAGGCCT